CATTATCAACTCACTCAAAATTTGATTACTTGGAATCTTGAATTCTTATATTAGAGATTATAGTATTTTAATATTACGTGGAAATCCTTAAAATATTAGTATTTAAATATATTCGAACCCATATGACTCGTCAATAACTTTGTCTTTTGATATGAATTGTCAGTGTCACACAGTTCTTTTGATAATTTTTGTTTATATTCTTGCGCAACAATTGTTTGGGGGAGAAAGAATCCTAAACTATTCGGGCCATCATAAAAACCCTACCATGTTATGCTAAAATTCGATATACTCCTTGCAATATATTCACCGTCTAGTCATTAAACACAATTTCTTGGAAGCCTATAACTATGCTAAAACCTTAATTTATAATCTTCTTTCATTTATCATCCGAGATGGATCAAGGGGAGGGTGGGGGCAGTCGTCTCTCTGAAATTTTAAAATTACTATATATTTTCTACTGAAAATTTGTTTTCGCCCCTAAGAATTTTATAAGATCAAGTTCGTCCCCAACATAAAATCTTGTGTACTTTGTGTCCGTCCCTGTTTATCATATATAATTTATCTCGTTAGTCAAGGTTGATTTATCTCATCTGTGCATCAGTCTACACATGTGTTTTAGGTTTTCTTAACTGTATGTGTAACCGTGTAGGGTTTATTTTTCAATATTTAACTACATGCACGGTGGCTGCCTAAATCGTGTAATTCATGTGTATATCATACTTGCATATTATAATCATGCTATACAATAATAAACTTATGCAATTTATATTTTAATCTTTTATCCTTTTGTATCGAACTTAATTTTGTTTTTTTATTAGATATTTGTGATATTTCTTAACAAATTTATAAAGAAAAAGCAAAGAAGTGGAAATAAAAAAACTCTTTTTAATATAAAAATTGTAGCCCTTCTTTTAGTCCAAAAGCATTCGTTAGCTGACACATTTCACATTTATTTTTTTATTTTTAAAATAAAATATTATTTAAGAATATATATATTTTTTTAAATATGAACGTAATACATATTACTTAATAATTTTTTTAACGATAGACACCTAAAAGTGTAATGTAAAAAACATTAAACACTTATGTTTAACAAAAAAAATCTTTTAGACACCAAGAATTAGTTTTAAATATAATTTAATTATTTATTTTTATATTAAACCTAATATTACCGAAGTATTTAGTTTTTGAAATAAATAAGAAAGACAAGCGTTTTCCGGGTTTTGTTGTTTTCTGAGAGAAGTAGAGGAAAAGGGGTACGGTATAGCCGAAATAGGAACCATCGAACACGTGACTCAGATGCCTTTAAAAAGACAATCCCATCAGATCAACGGTGTACGTGTTGGCTACAACACCCGGGGAATTCCAAGGATGCGCAGAGTAATTTAAAGCTAAACGACGCAACCGAAAATATGATTTTTTTTTTTAACAAAACAGGTTTGGTGCTATTGGAATGTTAACTTATATATAATAGGTTAGGTTGTAACTATTTTAAAATAATTCAATATAATCGGTTAAAAGTAGAACACAAAATGTTATAAAGTATAATAAGAAAAGTTATCAATCGTAGTAATATAACATGTTTCATCTAAAATATTATAAACATTAAGGAAATAAGTTATAAACGGTAAATGTTATGATATTATTAACATTTTAGGTTGAGCCTAAAATATTACCAGAGTTTAAGCTGACGAAGCCTTATATTTTCCCACGATAACAAAAATAAGTTAAAAGATGAAAATGTTATGAATATATATAAGAAATACGGTTGTGTCCAATAATATCTGGTTCACTAAGAAATAGATTGTGATCTGGAATGTTAATATTTTTATTAATAAAATTGGTTGTGCCCAAAAATATCATGGTTCGCTAAGAATAGGTTGTGATATGAAATTTTAATATTTTTATTAATAAAATGGGTTACGTCCAAGAATGACATGATTCACTAAGAAATAAATTGCGATCTGGAATGTTAATATTTTTATTAGTTAAAAACATGGAAAATGATATTTTAACTTTCGAATTTAAAAGTATGGATGCTTTATCAATACTTTACAACCTTTTCATTTTTCATGATTTTTTTATTCGAAAATATGAATACTTTTGGAAAAGTATCGATACTTTGCAACCTTCTCATTTTCATTTTTTTTGAATTCAAAAGTATTCATACTTTCGAATTTTTAAAAAATGAAAAAAAGAAAAGGTTGCAAAGTATCGATATTTTTCCAAAATTATCTATACTTTTTTTTAAATTATCAACCGTTTACATTATATGTTTAAAGCCGTTTATATTATAAAAAAGTAAAACAAAACAGGTTTATAAGTTTAACATTATAGGTTGTACCCATTTTTAATTGTCAACCATTTAGGTTATATTTTTGAAACCGTCTTTATCATACAAAAGTACAACAAAATATGTTTTTAAGTATAACATTATAGCTAGCGCCTTTTTTAATTGTCAATTGTTTATGTTATATGTGTGAAACCTTTTATATTATGCAAAAGTAAGACAAAATAAATTTATAAGTATAATATTATAGGTAGTGCTTTTGCTAATTGTTAACCGTTTAGGTTATATGTATTAAACCGTTTATATTATTAAATATAATACAAAAAAACTTGTTTTTACTATAACGTAATAGGTTTATGTTAAGTCCCTTAATATTGATATTAAATCGTTGAATATCGATAATTTTGAAACGTTTTAATTTTTTTTTGTTTGACGCAACCTTATTTCTTATGTATGAATAATATTTTCAACTTTTAACTTATTTTCTTTCAATTTTTTTTTTGGAAGTGTAATATAATTCTTTTTTAAAGAAATAGGCCAGGACATAACTCACAAAATCGTTGAAAAACACAAGTGGAAAGGATTTTAATAACCATAGGCTTACAAATGATACATTTTTTTTCTATAATTATAACTCGGAAGCAAACTCTATGAACACACTTTGCCCGGATTAAGAGTATATCCTGGGATGAAGGGGAAATTCCTGAATGTCATGAGGACGAAATGGAGTCCTCGGATTCACATTTCTTGAACTCGCCGGACCTGAGTTGCTTATTGAATTCTAAGAGAAGTAGGTTGATTGCACTCAGATTGGTTAATAAGGATGGTATTGCTCCCCAGAATTCTTCTGATGATTGCATGGAAATTGTCAACCATCGTAGTCCATTGTGTTCTTCGAAGTCTCCTTGTGCGATTGAAGGTTGCCTATCAAAGGGTTTTGCAGGGCTCTTATCGAGTTGCTATTTTTTCTTTTAATTTTTAAAAGTATCGATCATTATCGAATAAGTATCGATATTTTAACTTTTGATATTATTTTCAATTTTTTCAATATTTGAAAGTATCGATAATAATATATTCAATATCAATATTTAAAATTTTGAATTGTTTTTTATTTTTTTGGGCGAAACCTATTTTATTAATAAAAATATTAATATAACATATCACATCCCATTTCTATTCAAAACCATGACATTCTAGGGCATAACCTATTAAAAATATTAGCATAACATATTGCAACTTATTTCTATTCAAAACTATGACATTCTTAGACACAACCCATTTTATTAATACAAATATTAAAATTCCATATCACAATCTATTTCTTAGTGAATCATGTCATTGAGTACAACCATATTTCTTATATTATTCATAATATTTACAGCTTTTAACTTATTTTGTTATCGTGAAAAAATCTAAGACTCCATTAGCTTAAACTCTGGTAATATTTTAGGCTTAAGCAATTTTATTATAAAGAAAATTAACATTTAAGATCACAACATACTTTTTTGTTAATAATATCTTTAGGCGCAACCTAAAATGTTAATAATATTAGTAACATTTACTGTTTATAACTTATTTTGTTATCGTAAGAATGCCTAAGACCTCATCAGCTTAAACTCTGATAATATTTTAGACATAACCTAAAATGTCAAAAATATTCATAACATTTACTATTTAAAACTAATTTTATTGCCGTTTATAACATTTATGTGCAACCTATTATGTTACTACGATTGATAATATTTTAGGTGTCACTTTTAACCCGTTACCTTTTTCAATCGGTCAGGCCATTTATTAAAATGCCGCATGGTAGAACTACCCCCACACCACCCTACACAAAAACAAACAAGACTCTCCCAATCAGCTAATAATAATAAAATAAAAACATTTTTTCACTAGGAAAAATCCTTCTTTGTTATCGAAACGACATCGAAGCTCATAGAAGGAGACGCGTTTCAACGTCTACCGTTTATTAGAAAAAAGGATAAAACAAAATATAAGTATTGAACTATGTTTAAACCGTCGTTTGAATCAATAAATTTTTGAAAGTAATATAATAATCATTACATTTAAAACTGCTGAATTTTAACAAAATAATCCTTAAATTTATTAATTTTTTTACTCTTATTAGTACTATTCACTTTAAATATAGTGACTACTTTGTAATGTTTGAAATTTTAGTGACTAAGATGATCATTTGAGTATAGTTTAGTGATTTAATATGTATTTACCCTTTAAAAGAAATCATTTTCACCAATAGATAGTTTTATTAATGCAAAAATAAGTACTCAAACTCAATTTTTAATGTCTAAAGAATTTTTCGTTAAATATTAGGGTGTCTAATATTTTTTTTATTATATTTTTAAGTGAATACCGTTAAAAAATTTGATAAAAGACATGTGTCATGTTTATATTTTTATTTTTTAAATATAATATTATTTAAAAAAATTAAAAATTTTAAACGTGACACCTGTCAATTAATATTTTTTAACATAAACACCTACAAATATAAAAAAAAATTAGATACTTTTTTTAACAAAAAATAAAATAAAATTAAACACAAAATTAATTTTGAATATAAATTAGATAATTTTCTTTACATTAAGCGATTTTATTATTGTTTTGATTAATTAAGTAAATATATTTACTTTCTTTTCACTCTTCTATATATATCCAACGCCATGTTCATACATCTTCCGCTCATCTCTCAGTTTCCGTTCTTTTATTTTAGTTGCCTTATACCTGAAATATTTGGCTTAATTCAGTTGACGACAATCACTTTTTTTAAACTCCAAAGATGCAACTCTCCTTTCTGGGATTGTCGCCCATAAATTAGAAGGGGGAAAAAAAGAACAAATTCTCTTAAAATTTCGTTTGGGGCCGAACTTGTTTGCTTCAGTAGAGTGCTCAAATTGATTCGTTTTGGGTATTCGTCGTTCTTGTTTTCGATTGCTCTGAGGATGGTTTGCTTGGTTTCTCGCACGGGAAGGCACCTGCAGCGATATGATAATTTGGGCCGCCGCCAAGTTGTCGGGTGAGTATTTTCATGTTGATGATGATGGGAGCTTGCTTCCTCTTTTTTGAGAAATTTGTTCCCCTTTTTTCTCTGATTTTTCTGGGTCCCTATTGCATAAAAGAAGTTGTTCTTTTCTGGGTCAGATTTTCTTTCTATAAAGGAAAACTCATTGATATCTTCAAATTTGACGAATTGCAGGTGCATTCCTTATAGATTCAAATCTAGCAGTGACGGAACCATTAGTAACGAATTGGAAGTTCTTGTAATCTCTTCCCAGAAGTGTCAAAAAATGATGTTTCCCAAGGTGCACAAACATGAAATTTTCAATCTTTTTTTTAACAATTTTTGATTCCCCCCCCAATTATTAATCTCTGGGTTTTGATTATCAGGGTGGTTGGGAGCTTGATGAATCTAGAGAAGAAGCTGCATTAAGAGAGTCACTCGAAGAAGCTGGTGTTCTAGGCATTGTTGAGGTCAGTCTTTAAATTAAACACTCGAAATCCCAGCATTTTCTTGAACTAAAAAAGTTCATCTTTTGGAACAGTGTGAATTGGGGAAATGGGACTTCATAAGCAAAAGCCATGGGACATTTTATGAAGGTTACATGTTCCCTTTGCTTGTGAAGGAAGAGCTTGACCTCTGGCCCGAGCAAAACCTAAGACAAAGGACTTGGGTAAGCTTTTTATATAATCAAAAGATATAATTTCAAAATTAACCCTCTATGTTTGTTCGAACAATTATTTTGGCCACTTTAACCCTCAACTCTTTGATTTTCAGTTAAAATGGTCCGTATTGAATAAAAATCGTTAATTAACTGATGTATGTTGTTGACTTGACATTTCTACATATACTAAATAGCTTACGTGTCAAATGTTACGTCGATATGCAAGTTATTTAGTATATATGAAAATTTCATGTTAGTCAATTAATAGTTTTTATTTATCAAGGGTTATTTTAATTAAAATTGAAACGATGAGAGCTGAAATGTTAAAAAAAGGAATAGAAGTAAAATGATTATTCGAATGGGGTTAATTTTTGAGAGAATAAAAAATGGCTTCCAAGTTTTGATTCATTGATTTTAGTAAATTTGATTTGCTATGGTTTTGATGTTGTTCAGATGAATGTTAAGGAAGCAAGGGATGTATGCCAGCATTGGTGGATGAAGGAAGCTTTGGACATATTGGTTGAAAGACTCAACTCATTGAATGAGCAAAATGAACACAAATTCCCCAATTTGTGCACTGATATAGTGGCAGCAAATATTGCCACTTTGTAAATAATCTCTTGTTAAAAAGAAGAGAGGGTGGAGCTAAACATTTGTCATGGGACAGGTCAACTATGTTGACTAACAAGTACAATCATTCACTCACAGCTGGGTAATGTTGGGAAAATAACTGTAAATTTTGGAAGATGGGATTAAATGAATCACACAAACCCCAAGGGTTGTAAAACATCAATCATTTTCAGACACCACTTGGAGCCGAGCAGAACATTCTGGTAACCATGTGAGGTCCAAATTGATTTGCTTTTGCAAGTCGAAATCACTTTCATTCCACAACTAGCTTAGTGGAGCCTCATCATCTAAGTGACGTTTGATTTATAAATTAGGTTACCTGTCGAATATAAATGCGTTTAAAATCTTTATTATTAAATTATATATTATTAGTTAATGAGGTTTTAGTAGAGTTGAATTATCGGTAAAGTCTAAACTCTTGCGTATTTAAATATTCGTATTATTACGAATCAATCGATTAAGATATATTATTATCTTTTAAGATTATGAGTTCAGATATCACTTATGACATGAATATGAACGTTTATTATCAAGGAAAGTTATATTTGAACAAACACTATATTTAACCTACCTTAGATTCAGTAAAAGAAAATAATTTAAGTTAAAGTTTTAGTTTAAATTTATTCTAATTTAATTTTTTTTTAATTTATTTTTATTACTTGATTGCGACATGTATTATAAATTTTAAGATTTTATTATTATTTTTATTATTTATCCTAGTTTAAAAAATAATCAAGCCACAAGTACGTTTTTTCCTCTTCATGACATCATATTGTTGAATTAAGATGTCGGCCACCAATAAGATAAAATCAGGAAAACTATTGGAAATTCAATAATTTACCCAAATCGGATACGAAGTTCTGCCGTTTTTTGTATTATAAAGAAAATGGGAATTTCTGTACGTGATTCCATACAGTTTCTATGCAATTCATTTTTTGTCCCTGTAACTGGGTTTCGTTAATTTAGCCCCTGAGAATCTCAGTCTTTTGCAATTTAATCCATTTGAAGAAATAAGAACAGTGGATCGGCCCAAACCGATTGCACAAGGCCCATCATATACAAAATTGGACTTTTAACTTAAATATCTATTGGGTATTATTTTTAAACTTTATTTAATGCCCAAATTTATTTACTATTAATATGTTTTAGGTTTGAATTGTTACTTTCGAACAAATATTATATTCGAATCTTTAACTTGTTTTTATCATTCTGAGATAAATATAAAGTATTATTTGTTTAAAGACTTTTAATCATTTAACATTGAACGCTCATGCCCTTAACATACATAATGTTGGAACCCAGAGCCTCAAAGAATAATAATAATATCTTAACCACTAAAACCACTTAATTCGTACCTTAACCTTAAATATGAAAAATGACCTCAAAATATGCTTTTTTTTAGTGTATGATGAATACTTCAATTGCTTATATTGCAATCACATGTTTATCTTTATAGAATCCATCAATATGGTAAAGAAGATGAAAATCAATAAGCTTTGTAAAACTCAGAGTTCGAAATTATATTTTATGCAAATGTTAGATTTTGGTTCGAGTTAAAATAATGAGATCTCCAAAAAAAAAATTCAAAAACTTTATATTTAGATTACAATACTTTATCACTTTTAATAGACAAACGTATTCATAATATCTTCTTAAATGATTTTAATTTGAAATATTATACAGAAAATAATAATATATAATATTGTAAAACGAGTTAGATACTTACATTTGATGCCACATCACTTAGGTTCATGGGTCGAAATATAATTGTGGTGAGGGATGGATCAAAGGGGTGTGTGGGGGCAGTCGTTCCCTTAAAAATTTAAAATAAACATATATTTTATATTTTTTTATGTATTCCCTATTAAAATGTATTTTCGATTTCTTAAAATTTTATAAGTTTAAGTTCGTCTCATAACATAAAACTCTACGTCCCTCCCTGATCTTGGTGTAGAATTAATCGCGGTTCCACATGTATTTGATGATTAATGTGTTTATCATAAAATTTAAATTTTTTTAAATTAATTATCGGGTTATTATGGAAAAATCCACTTTCACGAATCAGTTCAAGTCTCTTTTTCAAATCATGACAATAATTAGTACGACAATAAAATAGTATTAAATAACACGATTATTGTGATGTAGTGATTTATTGATTTAGAAATTTTTTTGTCTAGAGTAGTGTAATAAAAAATTGTTGTTTCATAAGATTAACACCGAACTTTCAAATTTGTACATCTAAATAATTAAAATTTAAAAAATATTATATTTTTTTTGAAAAAGGAAACCACGAGGATGAAACTTGTGACCGTAGATAAAAATTTGAAAGAAAAAAGAAAAAGAAAATATATTTTTTGTGGTAAAATATAAATATGTGTTGATATGATTTGTTAGTGTTATGTGCTCAAAAATGATTTTTATAATTATTAAATGTAATTTCAACTTAGGGTGATGATGATTATTTATTGATTGATAGGGCAAATTGATCTGATGATTAAGTAGTAGATTTAACTGGTACAACATGTGAGTCTCTCAGTAATCATGCTAAGAAATTATAACTCATCGAATTTTACAAGTTTTAGAAATTTCAAGGTTTGATGGACAAAGAAATGATAATATAAGTGTAACTTGGGAAAGATGTTCAAACGAGATACAAAACTTCAAGTTAATTATTGTAAAATATTTTCAAGATATTTATTTCAGAATTGCGTTATTTAATTTGGTAAGTGGGAGTGATACATCTTGATTTTAATAATATTCCAATTAAATTCAACGATAAAATACTTGTAAGGAAGTGGACCATTTTTAGGTTAATATCTTTCTTTAGAACAAGAGTAAGTGATGATGGATAGTGCTCAATAAACAAAGCTGAACGAATTCTCTGAAACAGAATTAATTCTATGCTATGCATTTATCTATTGAGCTACAAAGAAATTACTTCAACTGTACCAATACTTTTTTGAATTTATTTCCACAAGGATAAGTCCAATAAAAAAATTGTAGTAACTTTTTTTTCTCTCATGGTTCAAAGGTTTTGTTTTGACTAATCTAGACCAACCAGTGTCGTATATCTGATTTTGGTGGATGAGTCTCCCGACAGAGATTTTCTACATATACAAGGACTCGAACTCAAAAACTTACTTAAACGATATCAAGTTGCTTACTACTTGAACTAACAATTGTTGATAAACTGTAGATAACTTTCTTTTTCAACGTTTTAAGTAAATTAAGGTTATGATTTATTTAAAACACCCTAAAAGATTATTTTCTTCTTACACTCATTTGATAAATTTTAGATGTATAACAATTCGAGACGATACAACGAAATAATAATTAAAATAAAATGAATAAAGTACATTAATTTCTACCATGGTGTCATGTCACCTTCAACACATGCAATACCAAATAATTGGTATGTAGAGACAAAACCAAATACAACCAAGAAGAATATTCGTAAATTCTTTACATGGTGATTCAACAAATTGCAGAAAAAGACGAACAACACCTCAGTAGGATCTTGTTGCAAAATTCGTGTACATGAAACAATAAAAAAAATTAATAACATAGAAACATTATTCTATTTAATAATAAGAAGGAGTATAGGATCAAAATTGGAGCCGAGTTGAGGCCTGCAACTACGCAGTTTCCTTAAGACATATTTCAATCACTCCTCGGTGCTTAAGATCTTTGGTCGTCTGTCTCTTAGGATACAACAACGAGATGATCAGGGCATAGTAGCACAACTGTCAAGATCAAGAACTATTTCTTGCTTTCATCTATCACCCAAAAAAATAGAGGAGAAAATGTTTTTGAATAGTTTTTGAGTTGTTTTCAATTGTGTTTAACCTAGTAGGTTAACACGATATTTATAAGGAGTCCACATTGTGAACAATTGGAAACTTTTAACCTAATGAAGCATTAATGAAAATCAAGCAATTAAGAAATTTCCAAAAAGTATTGTTTTGATTAAAGGAACCTTTTTAATAATTTATCATTTTAATTCCAAAACAGATTTTTAAAAGATATTCTCCATTTGAGGAAAATATCTCACATTTGGGTTAAAATATCGGCAAGCCCACAAAGAGATAGACTGATTTGGATATTCACGTTACCCACATCGTGCACATCTGCACATTTACGAACCAATAATTGGTTCAACATTTTCCTCAATAACGTTTGGATCAATTTCTCATTCAAAGCTCCAAAAATATCAATTTTTCCTACAATCCCCTACATGAGTGAAATTGATCATTTATCAAAATTATTTTTAACTTAATGTAGTGATAGACTCTACGATCGATTGTTGCATAGGATAGGTAGGTGTCCTCCTTTGAACCTTCCCTTGTGACATCATATTTACTTTACTAGCTGACCAGTAGATGTATAGTCCTTGAACTATTCTACCGTTTGTGTAAACTATTATATACTTCACAGAACTACCCCTCTGACAAGAATTTTAGTTCCCATGGGTATGTCCTTAAAGCCATGGACATCGCTTGGTTATGCAAGAGTTTGAAAGAACTATGCCTAATAGTCTCCTTGAAACGGCCCCACTTCACTATCACATTGGTGACTTATGTTGCTCGACTTTTCGAAACACACAATGGTCATTAAAATTTTTGCTTAGCCTATACAAATTTGATCACTTTTTACATCACATGAATGAACTTGGGATGATAAACCCCTAAAGTGATCGCACACAATTTATGCAATTAGGTTGTCTCTTTGAACCTAGATCTTGGGATCTTCAATCAACAAGGAAGGGTTTTCCTTCACACCTTTCATTTCATGGGCTTTAGTCTCATTTCTTTCAATGTTTTCTCAACTTTATCTCAATATTAACCCTTCGGTTAGTGAATCTGCGATGTTATCCTTTGATATTACAAAGTAAATTGTGATAACTTCATTTGAGATCAGTTGCCTAATGGTATTGTGTTGATGATGTATATATCTCAACTTACCATTATACATAAAGTTATGTGCTTTACCAATATAAGAATATTGTGGGCACAAACTTTGGCTATTCAAGAATATCCTCCAAAAAATTCAAAATTCATTCAACTTATTCTCTAGACTTGTCTAGAACTACAAACGCTT